AAATTTCATTAAACATAAATAGTTTTGTAGTGGTAGTTGTATTATAAAATAAACTCATATTTAAGAGGTGGTTTCATTAAATTGCAGACATTAAAATCAAAACATAAAGTTTAAGGCGAAATTGAAATAGGGGAATCAAAGCATAGTGGAGAGGATTGGTTTTGAAAACAAACTCATAGTCATAACGGAAGCAACTAAACATTACGTTTTAAAACATTGCTAACTAATATTATAAAGATAACATGAACTTTTCTAATGTACTAATCACACAACTGGGAATTTCGTAATTTGAGTAAGAATTTAAATTCAATAGTTAAAGTCAAAATTGAAACACGGAAACTGCCGGTGTTCAAATTTAAACACTTCCAACTTAAAGGAAAATAGTAAACACTTCCAATTTGTAATTTACCCATAACAACAAATTGTTTTAACAGGAAAACTATAAACAGCTGTTCAACAAATCCCAATGGTCCATTAAACAAGTATGTATGTTGTTGTTTGAACAAGTAAGTACGATATTGTACGATCACTCAATCTCTATGCGTAACATTAAACTGTAAAGGAAACTCATAAATTGCAACTTAAATAGACGGATCTTAAAAAACAGGACATCAAATTACAAAATATAGATCCTCATAGGTACCTTTTTTTAACAAGCATATCAAATGTCTAAGGATCTTCGCTGAATTGAGAATAAATATTTTGAAACAAAACGTGCTACTTGTTACACTGGCAATTAGTAAATGTACTATATTTTTTTATTGGGGAAAAATAAATCCTCATATTTCAATCTGTAATTAGTATATTGTCGCTTCTCTTCATGAGATAATATTTTCAATAAAAACGAACAAAGAAATTAAATTTAATGTAAAGCTACGATGTAAAGAAGATACCGACGGGATATTTATTTAAAATTTTTAATTTTGCGTGACATTTAAACGTCATATTAAAGTACCATGCAACACGTTCAACACAAATTGTAGCAACAATTTATATTTTAGTGTCTTAGTATAATTGTATGTTTTTGTTGTATTTTTTTTTCTATTAAATGTGTACATAAATAAGAAATGAATTGTAGAATGTAAAACAAATTTCATATGTTTACAATGAAAACTCATTTAAGCATTTCATATTTTAATAAACACTACTAGACTTAGGAATTATTTAAAATAATGCATTAATTGTAAATTTAAGAAATATTTTATAGATGAGATTATTGGAAACATTGTATTGCCCTTGGTAAGATGGAAATGTAGTAATAATCAAAAAACAAACAGAATCCGGCATTAGGTTTTCGACATACATTTTAAGAAACTCCTCTTATCGCCTTGTTCCAGACGTTTAATAACACTGAGATGATTCCTTTTTTCCCTTTTTTGAAGTTACGTTCCGTCAGTTATAAAAATTTTTAATTTCAGTTGACTTTCAAATAAATGCCTAACCTCTATATATTACCATTCAAAACAACATGATGAATAAAGCTCTTTATCTCGATTCCGACTCTAGAGATCAAATTGATAGAATGGACTTTTAGATGGTCTACAACATTTTATAAATAAAGTTATCTTGGGGCTGTTATAACGTCTCAAGAAGGTAATATCTTGTCGTACAGGACACGATATTTCAAATTTCAGATGTGATAGAGAAAATCACTCAGATTTGGATTCTTCGAGGATATTGTGCATTCCGAAAGACCCAACAAGCCTTTATTTTAAAGTTTATAGAATGGACTTTCAGATGGCATACAACATTTTATAAATAAAATTATCTTGGCGCAGTTATTACGTCTCAAGGAGGTCAACAAATGTATATATCACATCTGGATATTTCATATTCCAGATGTGATCTGAGGTCATATTCGGATTCAGCAGCGCAATCCTTTAAAAAAAATATAACTTGCTCACAGAGTTTAGATTTTTTCCATTTTTGTCGGCATGTGTTATCTAAGTGTTTTCAAACCTCGTGGAATTAAACAAAGAGGGTTACTAATTTCTAACTTTCTAAACTCCCCGCATATATACTAGCAGCGTATAATTTGTCATTTCCTTGTTTAAAGAATTAATATAGTAAAACTTCTGATATATAAATAGAAAATTCTCTTATTTTAAAGACATCCAAATATGACGATACGTTTGTGTTGTTATAATAAATATTAAAAGGATTAAGTTGAGTGACAACTATCAGTGATGTGTAACGGAAATATGAAAAATGTTTTATAAATTCAAAATTTTAATTATACAGAACAATGCTTATTCTTGACTGTAAGTTTTATTATTTTTTTAAATAAATTTTAATATTTTGAAGATGTTTTAGTGAGTTTGAAAAAATGAGGAATAAAATAAAAGCAAATTAGCCGTTTTATTAAATACATGAGTTTTTTTCAATTATTTTGTAAAAATATTATTATAACAAAAATTAAATATGAAATTTGCCATTAAAGAAAAGAAGAAAAGAATTTTAACAAAATTTATATTTACAGTCAAATAGAAAAATATATTAAACTTACCTTTTAATACTGCTTTTTAACATTAATATATTAGTCCCATCTCTGCATGACTCTCTTTTTTTCTCTTGCACACAATAAATACAAAATGCATTAACAAACAACAACAATGAAAACATCATAATAACACAAACAATGAAAAAAGCTTAACAAAATTTGATCAACCATTTTGCCGGCTGAATTGTATGGATATTTTTATTTTTTACACACATAAATTAATTATTTATTAAATTAAATACTTTTGCAAAGGATGTTGCAATTTACAACATTTAACTTTTCTTTAAATATATCACTAAAATAACAACTGGCTTTACATTAGGAACAATTGGCCAATGGCCACCTGCATTTTGCATTTCCTTTAGGAAATTTACTCTTTTTTCTTATTCTTCACTTTATTACACTTTATATTGCTATTAATTTAAGAACATATTAAAGAACTAATTTTATATGATTTAAATTGCACAAATTGATTAATAATTAATATATTTTACAATTTTATACAAATTTTACAATTTGGCAAACACTCGCGTCACGGTTGAAAACAAAACTGTTTATGACAATGAATGAGTATGCAAGTGCAATGTTGGTAGAACAGGGTGTACTTTTAATGATGTGATAATAGTTAAACAGGCTGTTTCAAATTTATTCATTAAATGCATAGTAGACCCGTTAATATCAAAGAGTTTGAAATTGTATAGGGAAAGGAGTATGTATGTGTATGTAACGTTAGTAGAATAGGGTGTTATAACGTGATAATAGTGATAGTAAATATAAAGCAGTAAAAAGTATAAATGCAAAAGGGAATAACATTTGAAGGTAACTAAGGTCTGTTACATATGTTGTAGATAAATAACAAAAAACTAACATAACTACTAACTAACTCTAACACTACTAACTACTAACGTAACAAACTAACTGTAAAAGTAACAACTAACTAACAACGAACTACGAACTAACGAACGAACTACAACTACTAACAACTACGACTACAAAACAACTAAACAAGACGAACGAAAGAACGAACGAACGAACGAACGAACGAAAGACGAACGAACGAAACGAACGAACGAACGAACGAACGAACGAACGAACGAAACGAACGAACGAACGAACGAACGAACGAGAACAAGAGAACGAACGAACGAACGAACGAACGAACTAACGAACGAACGAACGAACGAAACGAACGAACGAACGAACGAACGCGAACGAACGAACGAACGAACGAACGAACGAACGAACGAACGAAGAACGAACGAACGAACGAACGAACGAACGAACAAACGAACGAACGAACGAACGAACGAACGAACGAACGAACGAACGAACGAACAAACGAACGAACGAACGAACGAACGAACGAACGAACGAACGAACGAACGAAACGAACGAACGAAACGAACGAACGAACGAACGAAACGAACGAACGAACGAACGAACGAACGAACGAACGAACGAAAACGAACGAACGAACGAACGAACGAACGAACGAACGAAACGAACGAACGAACGAACGAACGAACGAAGAACGAACGAACGAACGACGAACGAGAACGAACGAACGAACGAACGAAAACGAACGAACGAACGAACGAACGAACGAACGAACGAACGAACGAACGAACGAACGAAACGAACGAACGAGAACGAACGAACGAACGAAACGAACGAAAACGAACGAACGAAACGAACGAACGAACGAACGAACGAACGAACGAAAGAACGAACGAACGAACGAACGAACGAACGAACGAACGAACGAAAGAACGAACGAACGAACGAACGAACGAACGAAAACGAACGAACGAACTAACGAAAGAACGAACGAAACGAACGAACGAACGAACGAAACGAACGAAGAACGAACGAACGAACGAAACGAAAACGAACGAACGAACGAACGAACACGAACTAACGAACGAACGAACGAACGAAACGAACTAACGAAGAACGAACGAACGAACGAACGAACGAACGAAACGAACGAACGAACGAACGAACAAGAACGAACGAACGAAACGAACGAACGAACGAACAACGAACGAACGAGAACGAACGAACTAACGAACGAAGAACGAACGAAGAACTAACGAACGAACAACGAACGAACAAACGAAACGAACGAACGAACGAACAACGAAAAACGAAAGAACGAACTAACTAACGAACGAACGAACGAACGACTAACGAACGAACGAACGAAAACTAACGAACGAAAAAACGAACTAACTAACTAACTAACTAACTAACAACGAACTAACTAACTAACAACTAACTAACTAACTAACAATAACTAACTAACTAACTAACTACTAAATAACTATTTTTTAAAATTTAAACAAAATTTTAAAACCATAATTTTCATATTTTCAGTTACTTGTTGTAAAATTTAATTTTTTATTACAAAAAAGCTATAATATCAATAAAAACATTTAAAATGTTTAATATAACAAATACTGCGATTTGTGGTTTATTTATGTACATATTTTAACAAAAATTTATAAACTAATTTTTTATAAAATGAAACTAAAATTTATAAAATTTTTTACTACATGTAAACAATGGTGTGTATTGAACGAGCTGGCACATTTATGGTAAGCATACCACGTACACTATCATTTAGGTTAATATCCTGGGGAATAGCAGCACTAAAAAGGAAAAATAAAATTAAGATATTTAAAGAAAAATATTAAAAAGTTGTCATAAAGACAATATTTGTAATAAACGAAGAGGTGGTAAGTAGCTTAAAATAATTCCACTCCCATAATAAAACATATGCCTTTTTTTGTTGGCACTATTCTCAAGTGTATCTCAAAACTAGAAAAGGAAACACACACTTAAGACACAAGTACATGCAGAAAAACATAAATTTTGAAAATATTACTTGATCTCAAGTGTAAAGAGAGAAATTGTTGAAATACTTTTAACACTAAACACGCGCGTTAATAGTTCTTTGCAATAACAGTGTGTCATAAAAACACTTAGAAAACATTTTAGTTTACTTAATATTCACATTAAAAGCGTGCCACATTAAGTATTTAGAGGCAACTGTGGCCGTTAAATTCTTTCTTGTAATTCAATACATTTTCTTGCTTACCTATTATATATTATTAAAACAATTTTATTATCCGGTCTTTTAAATCCAACCGCATCAATTGAATTTTGTATAGATGACAATTTCACTTCAATACGTTGAGAATTTTCGCTAATAAATTTCGAAAAGTGTCCCATGCCATAGAATAAGGGTTGTTTATAAAATTCAGAATTGTCTGTAAATAAAGGATTATTTTGGATTGTTTTCAATTTGAAATCGATTTATTTCAACTTACTCTCAGTATTTAAAATTATGGGAGCATCAACGGTATTATTAACATAGTTGGGTCCTCCCCGCTCATCCAACATTAGATTCCAATCAATCCAACCATTAAAATTATGCTGTAAATCTTGTAGTATAGAACGTATATACTGTTCACCTCTTTCCCATGAACCCAACTCAGGTCCACGAGTTTGCCAAGGTTTATCACCCACACAGGCTTCAGTATTTAATAGTAATTTGTTGGGCATTAATTGTAAAGTTTTATCTATAGTTCTGGTCCAAATAAATCATCCCAATACCAGTGTACGGCTAAACCATCAAGATAGTTGAGAGAACCGGGTCGCGAGGAATTCATCTTGAAATTTATAAACAGTTTAATATTGCAATATATTTTTGTTAATATCTAGTAAGTCGGAGAATAAGAGAGAGAGAGTGCGGCAATTAAGCCATCTGACTCTCTCTCCTTCCTTTCTTTTCATAAAGTAAGGGAGCTCTTTGCCGATACCAGATTTTTTAATTTTCTAATTACCGTTTTAAACCATGCGGGATATGAGTAACGCTGATCATCATTGCCAAATATTAAAACATTTTTAAAGCGTGATTCCTTCAAAGCTGGGCCCAAATAATCATTCAAATAAATCGCCTTAATAACACAAAAAGAAAAAACTTATTATTTTTCACAAAC